GGCAAGGAGAACGCAGCGGCCGCCTCCTCCGTCCGAGCGCGGGGTACTAAGGGGTCCCGGTGGCCAGCGATCTGGCAACAGCCGCGGCGGCGGCGGAGGGAGGGGAAGTGGGAGCCCGGAGGCGCGAGCCCGCGCCTACCGTACTGTGTGGAGTAGCTGCCCGTCTGCCCACCCGCCAGCCGCCAGGCGCTAGGACTCCAGGAAGCGCAGCCTCAAAACTTCCCCCTCACTCAGTTCCTCCTCTCCTGCCTGTTCCCTCTCTCCCCTCCCCTTCCACCTATTCCTCATTCACTTACTCTCCTATTTCATCCACACTTCATCTGATCCCTTTATTCTATGTCTTTCCCTCATCATTTTTTACCCACCTATCCATGCATTTATGCATCTACCCCTTACATCCAGTCACTCAGGGATATCTGACCTGTTTGCCCAATGCAGGGCCAGAAATTTGGTGGATATCTTTTGGAAAAGTCACTCCAGCTCCACGTAGCCTAATGAAGTTAAAAAATAAATTTCTAAGTATGGGCTTACTGGTTTGGTGAGCCTGGCAAGGGGCACAGCTTTCCTGACTTTGAATTTCCTTTGTAGACAAATAAGGAACTGGTAATAATGCTCTCTGCAGAGGCACTTTGTGGACATTAAATTAAATAATGCATTGAAAGAACCCATCACAGTGCTTGCCTCACAATAGCTGTGCAGACTGTAGCTTGTGCAGACTGTACATTTATACATAAGTGCAAATGTTAGTTTCTTTCTGACATAGCTTTGAGAGAGAGTACTAACTTCACAACCCAAAGTTAGGAATGGAGTCTTTGGAAACTTTGACAACCACAATCCCCAAATCAAGATGGTAAAATTCTCCAAGTATTCTTCCAGCGTATCTGCAGTCATCAATCTGAAGCTTTAGGATAGATCCTCTTCTTTTTCACCATGAACTGTCAGCCAGCATTCTATTAACACTCTTTCAACTGGCCACAGAACAAAGAGCTCTCGTGACAACTATGTCCCTAAGTTTCTATAAAGTTCCATGAGTGGAACCTCTTGCCAAGCAGGCTAGGAGGAAATGGCAGGTGCAAGCTCAAAAGTGTGGGCAGCAGAGTTGGCAGCTAAGCCTGCACCAACGATCCACTGGTTTTCAAGAAGGAAGGGACACCAGTCCTTTAGGAAGCATCTGGAATTATAGGAAGGATCTTGGAGCTTTCACAAAGACCAGCCAATACTGGCCTATGCTGAATCTCCTATCATGCTCAGGATACTCAAGCTTCACAAAATATTATCCTGGGTATCAAGTGCCAACTTTGGAGGCTCCATTGAGAAGCACTGAGAATGAGGCTAAGACCTGGTTTAGGTCACAGATTTAGTTATTTGGCATGTGGCCCAGTGAAGGAAATTCCTGAACTCTGTATTGCCTTCCTGAAGAAGGAGATGGGCAACATGGATAAAATGATGCAAAGCAAACAAAACAACACTTGATCAGCAGCTGGGAATTTGGTCCCAAACACCAAAGTAGAACGTGCTACATACAGGCTTGACCCAATAGAGAACCTCGTTTTCTTAGGCCTGTTAACTCAAAAGGAAAGGCCCAAATTATCTCCCTCATGAGCCCAATCTAAGTTTGGGATTTCACTGCTATGATTGGTGGCTATGCATCATTTAATGTGAAAGATATCCAACCTCTCACTTTAATGTCTAATAAACAAAATGCCCTTTTCACCCTGGAAATTGATTTCTCTCACTGGAGATATAAGATACTCAACTTGCTCAAGCCAGAAATCACATGGAAATCAGTCTTGGTTTCTCTTTTTGCTCACCTACTATATAAATTATCTGTCATTGCATGACAAATTACTCCCAAATCTTCTGGCATGAGATAAACATATTTACCATAGGGCGATCAAAGCACAGGGTTGAGACTGGATCTCATCTGACACCACCACTGTGCAAGGACGCGCTTCTGTGCTCCCTCTATGGTTATTGGAAGGATCTGGTTTCTTCAGGTCATTGCACTGAGGATCTATTCCTTACAGGCTATTGGCAAGAGGCTGTCTCCAGTTCCTTTCCAAGAGCCCTCTGCCTGAGAAAGCACACAAGAACCAAGGGAGATTGCCAGCGAGATGGAAATCACTGTCCTGATCACATATTTTCAAAAGTGATAGCCCATCACTTTGTCATGTTCTACTTTTTAGAAGCAAGTCAGTAAATCCATTCTATACCCCAAGGGACTGAACTGATTGCACAAGGGCTTGAATACCAGTAAGTAGCCCAGGTATTGGGAGTCATTTTAGAAGGCGGCCTCTTTCAGCCCCTAAATTCAGAAAATCAACAAGTTTGTCAAAAATACCTCCAAAATTTAACTGGCATCTGTCCACATTTTTCTTGAAATTTTTCAGTAGCAACTGCTTAACAAGATCAAATATTCCTAAATACCTAAAGGCCTCATTCCCATTGTACTTTATGTAAATTGTCCCACCATGCTGACTAGTGCCATACAGCTATTTTGGAAGTTAGCAAAACAACAGTAACCTAATTAATCTCTTGCTTCTTTCCATGCCTTCTCCCAATCTTTAAACTAAATTATTTTTTAGGGTTTTTATTCTATTTTTTTCCTGATTTTCCTTTAAAATTTTCCACTAAATGCATATTTAGCTATTTATTTTTATTAAAAATTGTTTTCGAGCCCTTCCTGGTGGCACAATGGGTTAAAGCCACTTGGTTGTATCCACTTATTGTTTTTACTAATTTTTTGATGATATCTTTGAGATTTTCTGTATATCATATCAGTATCATATTATCTGTAAATAATGATAGTTTTACTTCTTTTCTAAGCTTGGACTACCTTTATTTCCTGTTTTTGTCTGCTAGCTCTGACATAACCTCTAAAACTATGTTAAAAAGAAGAGGTGACAATGGGCATGCTAATCTTGTTCCTTATCTTAAGTGGATAGCTTTCATTTTTTCATCAGCAAGTTATTATGTTAGCTATTATTTGTAATATATGACCTTTTTAAAAAAAATTGTTTATTTATGCATACAAGAGCTGGGGTGTAGGCCAGAGGAGTGTGTGTGAGGAGGGTTAAGGAGTTGCTGAGAGGATTCACCAAAAAGAGTTGGGAGCAGAATAGGCAGATGGCATGAAATATACTGCTGAGGGGAGTAGCAGGTGAGACAGGAGAGGTCTGCTGTCCCATGTGGGTCAGTCACCTGGTCTTGGATCAAACTATTGCTGCATAGGCTGCTGATAGCTTCACAGTGCTGAGACTTAAGCCCTTGCATCAGTAGGGAGGCTCTATATGACCTTTACTATATTGAGGTAGGTTCCTTCATTTTTTCCATCTGGTTTACAGTTTTTATCATAAATGGTGCTGAATCTTACCAATGCTTTTGCTGCATCTATTGATACTATCATATGATTTTTATTTTACCTTCACTTTTATGATTGTTACATTGATGTATTTACATATATTAAATCATACCTGCATCACTGATAAATCCAACTTGATCATGTAGTATATAATCCTTGTAATATATTGTTGAATTTGATTTGCTAGCATTTTGTTGAAGATACTTGCATCAATATTCATTAGGGATTTTGGTCTGTAATTTTCTTTTCTTGTGTTGTCTTTATCTGGTTTCAGTTTTAGTATTATGGTAGCATTATAAAATGTATTAGGGGACGTATTTTTTTAAATGTTTAGCAAGATGGATATTAGTTCCTGTGAAAAAGTTCAATAAAATTAAATTTTTAAGACTATTTTGTCTTGAGCTTGTGTTTTAAGAAGTTTTAAAAATTTGTTTCAATTTCCATGCCTGTGCTCTGTCTGTGCAACTCTTCTGTTTCTTGGTTTACTCTTGGTAAACTATATTGATGTAGGAATTTGTTTAGATGATTTTTTAAAAATTTTAAATCCTATTTCTTCCCTAATTACAATTCTTCAATGGTTCATTGAACAAATCTAAACTTCTATTTTTTTAAGATTTATTTATTTAAACATGCAGAGCTGGGATATAGGCCAAAGGTGTGGGGGGTAAGAGGATTCACCAGAGACAGAATGGGGAGCAGAACAGGCAGATGGACGAAGTACACTGCTGAGGGGAGCTGTGGGCGGGTCAGGAGAGGTCTGCCACATGACGTGGGTCACCTATCTGGCTAGGGACTGAACTCAGTGGCTGTGATAGCTTCTTAGTGCTGTGTTTTAACCTGTTGAGCCACAAGGGAAGGCCCTCAAGTCTGAACTCCTTACTATGACCTCTAAATCCAGTATGATCTGGCCCTGACTATGATTGACTACACCCTCATGGCCTCCCATGGGGACTCCTCTGTTCTGGCTTACTTGCTTTGATGCCTTTGCATTTATGGTTTCTTTTGCCTGATTTCATGTTCTGGGATACTTCAAGTTATAGCTGTCAACTTACAGCACTTCACTGGAAAGGCCTTTCCCAGTCACCCTGTTTAAAGAGATACTACTCCTTCCATTATTATGTATTATTCACCCATTTTTGTTTTCTGCACACAGACTACTAATTGTGTGTGTGTTGTGTATTTATGTATATATATTCACAGATATGTTTATATTTTTCCTAGTTATAATTACAGTAAAGTATACAATTTTGAAGTGTATGCCACAAAAATCAAGATATAAAACTTTTTTGGGCCCTCCCTGTTGGCAAAATAATTAAAGCACAGCATTATGAAGCTATGGGTAGCTACTGCAGCACAACTTCCTTTCCTGGCCAAGGAGCTGA